CCCCAAAACCCCAAAACCCCAAAACCCCAGATGCCCAATCAAAGTTGAATTTAATGGGAAAATTAAAGGTTAATTTATTATATATTTATAGTCATTAATTTAATGAAGAAAGCAGACACGATAAAAAAGGGGATTTTCAGCAGAACTCTAAATAACTTTAGAAGGATCAGAAATCCTTAGGAAAGAATAATGATGCAAAGAAATTTTAGTAAGATTATTCTAATAAACATCTTAATTAGGAGAGGAAACGTTTTTGAGAATGTTTAAAGCAAAGTACCTGATATGGGGATCATTTTTCTCCTATCTAGCATTAATCTTTTTATACTCTCGTAAGAACGAGGCTACAAAGTACAAGGTAAATAATTGCAGTCACTCATTATTTATTTAATTTAGTTTTCTTTTTCAAGAAAAATGAGTCAATTCACAGCTTATCTTACAAACTGCCCGCTTCCGCCATACCTTAGAATGTATATATACAAAGCTTTTGGACTTATATATGGAGTTAAGTTTGATGAGATAAAGATATAAGACATAAATAAATTCAGAACTTTCAATTAATTTTTCACAAGAGAGTTAAAGGATGGAGTGAGACCAATAGAAAATGAGTTTAATCATAAGACATTGTGCTCTCCTTGTGATGGAAAAGTATTATCATTCGGGCAAATAGATACAATGACATCAACTATGGACTGTATTAAGGGTCATACTTATAGACTCGATGAGTTCTTATTCGGAGTAAAATCTCCAGAAAGTGTTGATCCCAAGAATAAAACACCTTCTGTAGTTGATTCCTTGATTGAAGGTGCTAAAGCTAGAGGGAATTAGATTATGTACTGCATTATCTATCTTGCACCTGGTGATTATCATAGATATCATAGCCCAGCTAATTTCATTGCAAATTACAGGAGACATATTGCTGGCTATCTTGAACCAGTAAGACCTGACTACTTACAATTTAGTAAAGATGTGATTAAAAATAATGAGAGGGTCAACATCTTAGGAGAATGGACTCATGGTTTGTTTGCGCTTAGTTTTATTGGAGCCCTAAATGTAGGATCAATTATTGTAAACTTTGATGATACTCTTAAGTCTAACATAAGATCACCTGAGATTCCATACTATATAGATAGAAACTATCAAACTTTGATGTAATCTAGTAACATTATGAAATTTCCTGTCAGAAATAAGTTAATAACATAAGAGGGTGACCAAATTACTGAGAAAGTTTAAGATGACGATCTATTCTCTATTAGTAAATATCTGTAGGAGTTTGATATAAAGGATGTAGTTGATATCTCCAAGAAAGAGACAACATTTAAATACGAAATCAGTAAGGAGTAGCAATTCAAGTATAATGTTATGAATGGATTTAAAGATGAGGAATAACTTGGAAAAATGGCAAATAATATCAATGAACAAGAAAAGCAAGAGCTATTGAGTAAATTGGAAAATCCAGATGTCGAAGAGTTATCGAGAGTTTAGAGATACACTATCACTAATGCTGGAGTTATTTTGAAGAAAGGAGAGGAGATTGGAATGTTTGAAATGGGTTCCACAGTTGGAATGATTTTTGAGTGTCCAAAAGATTATGTTTTAAATCTTAAAGAAGGCTAAAAAGTTGTGCTGGGTCAAGAAATCTTATCCTAATAAGTACCGCCTTAACTCTGATAAATCTTAATAATTAGGCATTATTTCTTAAAGTTTATTTCATTTAACTTAACTTCGATTTTAGCAGAATATTTCAGTGATGGGGTTTTGGGGTTTTGGGGTTTTGGGGTTTTGGGGGTTTGGGG